CCCGGCTCGGCCGCTTGGTGCTGGTTTCTCTGCCAGCCGTACCCGCTTCCCTGCTTGCGCCAGGCTGGAAGCGCTGCTGGGGGGCACAGGGACACGTCCAGGCCACCGCGTCTGTGGCTGGAGAGGCCAAATCCGGCACGACGAAGCTCGACCAGCTCCTGTCCCGGGGCCAGGCCAGACAATCACAGGGCGAGGGGAAGCGCTGGGGGGACAAACCCGGCACCAAACCCCCCGGCAGCACCGTGCTGGCACCCGAATGCTCATCACTCCTTGCTGCCCTGACAGTATTTTTTTTTTGCCTAACTTCCTTTCCCTGCCCCTTTTTTTCTTTTTTTTTTTTTTTAATTATTATTATTACTTATTATTTAAGCTGTCCCACTAAGAGTCACGACCACTTCTGTCTCTGCGGCCGAGTGGCCCCGGCACGCCGCACGCCTGGTGGCGATGAGCACCGGTGTCCTGCCCTTCGAGGAGCTGTGGGCAGGGGGTGGGCATGCGGGGAGGTGCCCAGGCTGCCCTCCTGGCAGAGGTGGGCTTCATCACGCTGGTGCCTGACCCGGCACCCGCCGGGAGAGGAGTCGGGCGGCTTTGCCCATTACCTCTGCGTGCGCGGGGACTTGTGCACACCACTGTCTTAAAACAACTCGGGGTGGTTTTTTTAAAAGTCAATAAAACCCACGCATCGGAACCGCTCCGGGTGTTCCTTGCCCCGGCTCTGCTGTCGCCCCCAGCCCAGCGCCAGCACGGGAGGGGAAGGGAGGGAAAGGGAGCAGGCGGGTTGGGGGAGTCGGCAGGATAGGATGCTCTGCTCTCCTTCCCTTGATTTTCCTTCCTTCCCTATTCCTTCCTTTTCCCTTCCTTCTTCCTTCCCTCCCTTCCTTCTTCCTTCCTTCCCTTCTTTTCTTTCGTCCTCTCTTCCTTCCCTTCCTTCTTCTTTCCTTCTCTCCCCTTCCCTCACGTCCTCCTTCCTTCCTTCCCTTCCTTCTCTCCCCTTCCCTCACGTCCTCCTTCCTTCCTTCCCTTCCTTCTTTCTTCTTTCCTTTCCCTTCCTTCTTCCTTTCTTCCTTCTCATTCCCTTCTTTACTTTCCTTCTTTTCCTTCCTTGCCTTCCTATTCCTGTTCCTTTTCCCTCCTGTCTTTCCTTTTCCTTCCTCTCCTCTCTTTTCTCCTTCTCCATTGTGGGGCTGGATCAGGGTTGGGCCCCAGGCACAGGCTGCGATCAGCCCTCAGCTGACACCCACTGGATCAGGAGCTGAGCCCAGCCCAGCACCACGGCCCCTCCAGTGGGTGACGGCTCTGCCCCTCCTGACTATCCAAGCAGCCAAAAAAAAGAGGCTCTGCCCGCCCCCGCCCTGGCCCTGCCCGGTGCAAGGAAGGACATGGACAAACTCTCAAAGGATGCAATTCTGGAACCTGGTGCAGGCACAGGCAGGGAAAGCAACTTTCCCTGGGGTGACCCAGCAGGGCCAGAGCTCACTCCAGCTCCCAGCTGGAAGCCTGCCCCAGGCCCAGGGTCCTTGCGGGGTCCAAACCAGATAATCAGGGGGTCTGGAGAACAGGAGGCTCAGGGGAGACCACCTGGCTCTCCACAGCTCCCTGACAGGAGGTTGGAGCCAGGTGGGGGTCAGGCTCCTCTCCCAAGGAACAAGTGACAGGACAAGAGCCTCAAGTTGTGCGAGGAAATTTTTTTTGTTGAATATATGGAAAAACATCTTACCTGCAAGGGTTGTCCAGGGCTGTCCCAGGCTGCCCAGGACAGTGGTGAAGTCCCCATCCCTGGAGGGGTTTCCAAGCCGTGGAGATGTGGTGCTGAGGGACATGGGTCAGTGGGGACCTCGCAGTGCTGGGTTAACATTGGACTTGATGTTCTTAAAGGTGTCTTCCAATTTAAATGATTCTATGACTCTAAGACACACAAGGTTCTTGCGTAATAAACAGCCAAATTCAGGAGTAGTTAAAACGCCTCTTTATTAATATACAAACCTAGCAACATTTAAGCCAACTGAAATATTAAATGAACTAAAGCACGACATAAATACAGCATATGTAACAACATGGCCTCAGTGGAGAGCAGCAAAGCCACCCAAATTGTGCGCTTGGGAACAACTGTCCAGGTCCCCCACCACGGGTGCCTGGCAATCAGAACAGCTTTGTCTCTCCCAAACCCCTCCGAGTCCCAAACCGCCAGAGGCGAGACCCCAGCTCCTCTCAAAGGCGCAACACCACGATTTACTTCAACCTTTCCTCAACCCCAGAGCTCAAAGGGATTAAAAAACTATCATTCCCGTGCTGCTGGAGATGATCCATTTGCTGGGCAGGGAGAGGGGAGATGGCTGTGGTGGAGGGGGAACCACGCTGCTGAAGATGCTCTTTGCTCTGTCCCACCCCAGCTATATCCATTGCATGACATTCACAAGCATAAGGCACTAGAAAAATGTTCTCACAGGTTCAAACTCCACTTGCCTTTAACATTTTTTTGCAGCAGCACAATTCAGAAGTCCTCCCAGCCCTTGAAAATCTAGTCTCGGGAGATTGCTAAAAGGTTTGGAACAAGAGAAAGGGGCTTTGGACAAGGAAATTGGTGCACCTGGTAGCCAGAAGCAGTGGTGGAGAGGGGACGTACTGGTGGGATCACAAGATCCAAGCCTCTGCCTGGGTACCTGTCCAAGAAGCGGGGAGCCCTTCTCCCACAGAGCTCAGGTCTCTGGTAAAACTGGCAACAGCAGGAGCCGTCCCAGAGCAGAGCATGACAGCGAGCGTGCTACCTCCAGAGCAGCAGCAAGGAGCTGATCCAGGTCAGAAAGGGTTTTCCACCTCCTCCCAAAGATGCAGGGCCATCTGGAGAGAGCTGTGGTCACGGCTCAGGCGTGCTCCTCTCCTCTGAGCATGGCTTGGGTTGCTCCTCCAGCAGAAGCACCTATGAGCAGGGGCGTGTCCTGCCACAAGCCTCACCGTGAGATGTGGAAGGAGCCACCAAGGGCTTCAGGGAAAATACTCTGGTTACCCAGAAAATGTATCATGACCTAGCTGGGATGGCTGATGGCTCCCGAGGATCTACTCTGCTTGTAGGAGGTGTCAAGCATCCATCTGGGAGTGCCTGACGGGCAGCACTGTTAGCAGCATGGGCACAGCAATAAACATTCATGTGAACACCTTCCCTCAGTGCATCTGCCATTCTCATTTACCACCATGTGGAGGTACCTTATTCCCACAGCCTCTGAACAG